ATGTGCGGCTCAGGGTTCTAGCTGCATGGAGTGGCAGAGGGCAGAGGGGCCATGGGAGGCAAACTTCGAGCATGTCTCAGGAGCCTGAAAGATGGGAAGCCTCGGTTTCCCTCTCCTAGACCATCTGCTTATCCCCTCCAGGCCATCCTTCTGGCCGCATAACAGCTTATCCATTGAAGACCTTGGCCATGGCCCTCTCTTGCTCAGGGACCTCCCATGTCCCCCTCCATGTTCTTTCACCAGAGCACCTTAGCCTGGAACTCTAGTCCTTTACGAATGGCTCCAGCCACCCCACCCTTCTTCCCTTGTCAATTCCTGTGCGATACCCCTGACCCACATGATGCCATGTGCTTTCCTGCCTCGGGGCCTTTGCACGTGCGGTTCTTGCCACCTGCCATGCTCTCCTCTGGCATCTTCCTCTTGCAATTTCCCCTTCCCCCTTCAGTAAGTCCCACCTGCCTGAAGTCTGTTCTTCCCACAGTGAGATGAGTTCACCCTCCTGAGGATGCTGCCACTATCCTCCCTTCCCTCCCAGCCCGACTGCAGCAGTAGCTGTTGCCCCTCTCTGGGGACAGGGATTATGTTTGAGAAACCTTTACTGTCCCAGGGAGTTAACAGTTTTCCAGCCTCTGCACACGCTGCCCTTCTGCCGCAATGGCTCTCCTGGTAAACTCCCACGTCTTTACGGCTCACATGGAAAAACCCCTCCTCATCAATTCCCTCAGTGAACATCTGTTGAGTACCCAGTGTATACTAGACACTTGAGGCCCTACTGCATGGCTGGCGCTGGGCTCTGGGGCTGCAGCAGTGATGGCTGATGGGGAGACAGGCCTAAGGCATATTTAGAGGCATGGTATTAATACAAAGGTGGGACAGGGAGAAGGCAGAGGACCATGGGAATGTATACCAGGGTAGCCCAATTCCTATGTGGGAAACATCAAAAGTGACCTTTAAGTTGAGACAGGAGTGGAGACCTGGGTGAGCTGTAGGGCTATGCTGGGGTAGGGGTTGTAACTAAGAACCAGAACAAGCCCTGCTTTTGGGGAGCCCACAGTCTACTTGAGGGACTGGACAAATAACCAGATAACCAGACAGTTCCCCAAGGCAGTGCCAGCTGAGCAGAGTTTTGAAGGCAGGGTTCCAGCTGGGAGGTATGGCCCCCAGGTGGAGGGGCTCAGCCTGTGCAGAGCCATGGCGCATCAGGTCACCTTGTTCTGGGGGCCCTGATGCTGGAGGGATGGTGCCAAGGGGCACACCTGGTGAGATGAGTGTGGCCAGGGGACCTTCTTGGTGAAAGCCTGAGCATCAGACTGTGGAGTTTGAACTGTACCCCAAAAGTGATGGGAATCCAAGAAGGATTTCAAGCGGTAGACTTAGTGCCCTGGGCAGGCTCTCCTTCAGCTTGGTCCCCCCTGCTGGGGCCCTGGATGGGACCAGGAGTCCCTTCGTGTCTGCTCTCCCCCACCCACTGCTGTCATGGGTGGGGCTGGAGGCTTTTGCTGTGGGACTTTGAGCAGGCCCCTGTCCCTCCCTGAGCCCCACTCTCCTGGGTAAACTTGCAGGGCCTTAGGCCAGAATCCTATGTGGGGCTGTGGGCTGGAGTTTGGGGTATCTTGCTTTGTCATACCTTTGGTTTTATTAAAAATATTCCCTTAAAAAGTCACATAACAATACTCTTCCAGGCCTATTGTCTCATTAGCTGTGACATGGAGAAAAATTAGAAAACAGGGATATGAAATAAGTAAAAACCCACCTCATCTCTGCCCCTGCTCCAAGCCAGAAACATCACCACTGTTAGCCTTTTGGTGTTTCTTCCCCTCTTTTCTCTCAGCACCCAGTTTTCATATAGATATCCTTGCTCTATCTGTACATGCAGTTTTAAAAAAATCTTCCCATTTCCCCCCTATCACAAGTGTTTTTTAAATGACTGCAGAGTGGTTTCAATCCTTCCTTTTAATGGATCCAGTGTCAGGGTGGAGAGGATGGGCTTTAGGGCCTGATTGTCTGTATTCAAATCCTACGCTTAACTGCTTGACTTTGGGCAAATTTGCTGATCTCTCTGTGCCTTCAGTTCCTGACAGGCCAATGTGAGTGTTAAATGAGTCATTACAAGGCCAGTAACATTAGCTGTTATTAACGACCATAGACTGTGTCACCAAGTAACATGACTTACACAGAACCTATTTAAAATTTTGGCTGTTCCAGGTTTTTGCTGTTGTAAAAAACCACTGATGCAAACAGCTTTGTACATATAACTTTTTCTCTATTTTTCTAGGGATGGATGACCAAGAATGGGATCACTAGGCCAGGAAGTTTGGACATTTTTAGAGCTCTTGACAAATTCATGCCAGATTGTTTTCAGACATGACTGTTACAATTTACACTCCCGCCAATAATACATGAGCGTGCCAATTTCACCATACCCTCACCAGTACTGGGTGTTAGCATTTTCTTATTTCTTACTGCTATTTTGATAGGTTAAACTCATTGAATTTTCACTGCTATGGAAGCAGAATCATTTTCTGTGTTTATTAGCTGTTAACATCCTTTTTGGATCGGCTAGTCTTTAGAGAACACACATAGCCCCTTCTGGGGTCAATTAGGAAGACAGGACTTAGATACAGGAAATAGTGAACAGTGTAACAGAGAGGGACAGCACAGTGCCAGAGTGGGTGGAGGGGACTCGGAGGAGGGGGAGGGGGCTTCCTTCTATCCAGGCCACAGCCCTTTCAGTTCCCCCCACCTGATTATTAAGTAATTGATTAATTAATCCAAACCTTTGTCAGATACTGTGCAGGGTTTAAAAGATAAATGATTCAGCCATGATCCCTCCCCAACGGAGCGCATGTCTGGCAGCAGAGATGGATGAGCAAACAGACAGAACATGGGGTGAGAGAGGTTCTGATGATGGAAATGCAGGGTACAAAGGGAGCAGTGAGGAGAGCACGCAGTGCAGCCCGGGCATGGAGGCAGAGTAGTGTCCGATTGCTTCCAGGAAGAGGTGGCCTGTAAGCTGTGGCCTGAGGGATGCATTGGAATTCACTAGTGAAATGGGGAGGGCAGAGAATACTAGGGAGAGGATGCAGCCTGTGGAAGGTGAGAAGGGAAGCAGAGCCCTGGGGGAACTGGGAGATGCTCAGTCTGGCTGTGCAGTGCAAAGTGGAACAGCCAGAGAGATCGGCAGGGGCCGCACACGTAAGGCTTAAGCAATCCAGACATTGTCTGGAGGGAAGTAGGGAGCTATGGAGGGTCCTAAGAAGGGCAGGGTTGGGATCTTTTATTTTATTAAAATTACAGTGACTGCAGTAATGGAGTGGAGGATGGAGGAGGGGGGGAACCTGTGAGGAGGCTCTTACAATAGCTGAGGCCAGAGCTGAAGGGGGCCTGTTATCAGGGCAGGGGAGGTGGTGCAGACCCTCTTCTCTCCCCACCCTGTAGGATCCTAATCAGCTTCATGGTGCAGATGGAATGCCACCTCTTCCAGGTAGCCCTTCCTGACACCCACCTTCCAAGTCATGCGTGCTTTGAGGCTGGGGCTGTGCAGGGCCTGGCGTGCAACAGTCAACTGCCTGCCCACCAGCAGCTGACGCTGACCTCCCACTGCCCCATGCCTCTGGACTCTCCATCTGTTCCCCGCACTGGGCTACCAACTACTTTCGTTCATTTTTTAAGAATAAATTTATTGTTTTTGTTAAGAAACGGAACAGCATTACAGAGAATTTGGAAATCAGAGAAACAAAGACAAAGACCAAGATTGGCCCCAGCTGCCTCCTGCCTTGCTCCCAGCCTCCCTCTGGGTGTGGCTCCCTGAAGCTTTCTTTTTCTGACGCAGGTTTTTATTTTTGCCTCCTTTGTAATCATAGTATCCGGACAGTTTTGGGTCCTGCTCTCTCGCATTTGCTTTGTGAGGAGCTAGTTCCCATGTGGCCATGGGGTCTGGGCAAAGTCTCTTCTTTTTAAAGACAGGTTCTCACTCTGTCACCCAGGCTTGAGTGCAGTGGTGTGATCATGGCTCACTGCAGCCTCAAACTCCTGGGCTTAAGCGATTCTCCTGCCTCAGCCTCCCAAAGTGCTGGGATTATAGGCATGAATCATGCCCAGCCCAGCCAAGCAAATCTCACTTTTTAATGTCTGTGTGTTGGGCTGGGGCGGGAGGTGGGGGGTGGCCATAAGTTGCTTTACTGAACCCCTCTGCCTTGCAGTGGGTGAGTCTCGTGACATTCCCCCTGGGCTGCCTGTCCTCTTTGTGTCCATTTGTCTAGGTCTGAAAGTCTCCAGGTGGCAGGGCCTGGCACCTGATGTACCCCTTCCTCAGTACCCCCTCCCTCAGTTCCCCTCTGTGGAACTTGCTGGGCTGGCCTCAGAGACACCCTTCTGGGACAGGGTGATAAACAGACCCAGTTTCAAGTTCAGACTCAGCTCTGTGACCTAAGGCAACTTGCTTAACCTCTCTGGACCTCAGTTTCCTCATCTGTACAATAGGTCTATTGTGAGAGTAAAATAATGGCTATAAAATATCCTGACACAGTCCCCAGTCCATTGGAAGTGGCCACCTTGGGCTAGAGGCTGGCAGAAATGAATGAGCACCAACCCTACTTGTGAAGAGTTTGAAGTCTGGTGGGGAGGACGCCCGGGAAAATATAACTGCCCTGGAGTGCAGTTGGCCCTGTAGTGCTGGCTCAGTGCTGGGCATCCTAACTCCATCACTTACTAGCTGTGTGATTTGGGGCAAGTTGGTCGATCTCTTTGTGCTGCACTTTCTTCTGTTAATTGTGCATCTCACAGAGTCATTGGGAAGGTTCAGTGACATGAATCATGACATATTCAACACATAGATGTTAAAATCAATGGTAGCTGGCACTTTATTACTATTATTATTGTTATTATTGTTATTGTTATTCCCATATACAAGGTGCTGTTGGGAACACAGAGGAAGTGACTGGCTGGGGGTTCAGGGAAAGCTCCGTAGAAGAGGGAACACTTGAGCTGGGTCTTGAAGGATGAGTAGAAGTTCACCAAGTGGGAAAGGACACTCTAGGTAAGGAGCTTGTGATTCCAGGTTGCACTCTGTCAATGAGGGTTTGTTCTTTGGGGGATTAAAGCATTGTGTTCTTCCCTGAGTGCTCCTACTGCCCCGCTCTGGGTCTGCCCTGGGGGAGGTGTGTGCTTACCCTCCTGTAGCGGCCTCCTGTGTTGTGGTGGCTGTGGGTTCCTCCTCACAGCAGCTGCTGGGTCCCCATCAGTCCATGTTTGGGGCCACAGGTCTGTATCTGTCATGTGTGTCTGGGTTTGGTGCTGTCTGTCTGCATGTTCCTATGGCTGTGTTTGTCAGCATTGGTATACAGTGGGCCCCCTGGGCTCCACTGTGGGGGGTACTTTGCATGCTTCCTTGGCCTCCAGCTCCAGGCCTCTTAGGCCACCCTCCTCCCTGGCCCAGGCGCAGCCCCTGCCTCTCTGCTCTGCTCCCCAGGGGCTTCCCGCTGCCTCTTCTCCTGGCCTTTCTAGTCCCCTCTACACTAGGCACTCAGAGGGGCCTTTCTCAACCACAGATTCTGTCCCATCACCTACTGCTTCAAGTCTAGCCTTCAGGCCTAGGAATCAGGGAGCAGCCTTTTAGGTCTGGCCCCAGCTGCTGGTTCCAGCCTCATCTCCCATCTGCCAGGCAACACCGAACATTCGTGGCTCCCCTCACACACTGTTGGGCTCCTCGCCTGGGGGGCCTTTGCTCAAGCTGTTGCTTCTGCTGGGAATGCTCCCACCCCTCCTCTGCCTAGCTAACTCCCACTCATCCTTTAAGACCCAAGGCAGGCATCACCTACCCTGGGAAGTCCTCCCTGATCCTCTCCAGGCTGGGTCAGGTCCCTGGCTCTGGGCTGCTAATCCCTTCCATGGGGGGTAGGAGCAAGTGTCTTGCCCAAGATCACACAGCTGGTGAGTTGGAGTCAAGATTGGGACCCGGGTATGTTGGGCTGCAAACAGAGCGGGCTGTTCCACAGTCCCGGTGAGGCAACAGTGGCTGGGACTGTTGGAGAAGAGTGGGTGGGCTTGAGAGAGACTTTGGAACTGGAATCCTGAAGACATGGCTGAGATGGGTCTGAGGTGGGTGGGGAGGGAGGGCAAGTGTGGTAGATCACTGTGTGTCTGCAGGAGCATCTGGGCAG